AATATTAACCTTACCTCATAGTATGACACAAATATTAGTAACCTTACCTCATAGTATGACACAAATATTAGTTGTGTCTAGTGTTGAAGTAAAACTCACTAATGATTTTGATATCAGAGCTCAAAAACTCACTGATGATTTTGATATCAGAGCTCTCCAAGCAAATTTCTACTTCGATAATGAACAGTAGGACAATGGCATTACTTTATTACTGCTACTGCTTCTTCAACACACACATCTAAAAACCACACCATTTACCAATTTTCATAAGAGTACATCAAAGATTTGTAATAACAACTACAAATTCAGTATTATGGTCCAACAACCTAAAAGAAGTGGCTGAATCTAAAAAGTATGCAATTTTTCCCAGAAGAGAAAAAAAAATTTATGTACACACACACACTCTCACACCCACACAACCCTACATTTTTTTCCATGTTTTCTAATTTTCTTGCCCACAATTACTTATCCTGTTCTTCCTGGTATTGAGGAGAAAGGTTTCCTAAAGAAAAGAAAAGCTTATGAAAGTCTCAGTGAGTTAGAGATCAAATATATACATGACCCCTTTATAAAAGATAAATTTAGGGAAGGTCAATTCTAGGATGAGAGTTGAATAAAAGAACACTCATTAAACCAATTTAGATGAGCAGAGAGTTTTTAAACCAGTCACTGAGTTTTCTTTATTTTTCTATTTTGTAATAAGCCTCAAAATAGAATTGTTCTACTCTTTCAAACATGTAGAACAGGAGGGGAAAGAACAAGTTTGCTATTTCTAGAGGTCAAGGTGGACCAGCTGCTTCATAGCCTGGGCTTCTAGGCCTTAAGCACGTTTTCTGAAATAAAGCAAGAATCCATTAGTGGATCTTAAGGAATGCCCTCAAACTAGGGTAGTTTACTACCTTGTTATAAGGAGAAAAGAAAAGAAGCCTATGAAATTAAAACTCTTTAATCAGGAAAATTTTCAAACTCAGTACTCTGGCCCAAAATAATAGGCAATGGCATGACCAGTGAAAAATAAAGCTCTTCAACAGGAACCATAATTTCCATGGTATTCATTCATTCAACATACTTTGATGATCATATACCTCTCATAGTCTAGGCACCATATACACAGTGTGAAAGACAGAGAAAAGAGGCACAGTACCTGCCCTAATGAAGTTCAGTCAAATTGAAGAGAAGACATTACTCCAAGTAAATAAGCAAATATTTAGTTACAAATCCATGATAAATAATTAAAGAAATGGAGGTAAATGTACGTTAGGTTAAAAAAGATCTCCTTAGGAAGATAATATCTAAGCTAATGGGAAACAATGAAAGAAATGTTCAGTGATCACAACCAAAGATGTCTGGTTGATTCACCCCTACCAATTCCAACTAATTCCTTTCAAGGTCTGCTATTGTCTCCATCCCCAAACTATCTCTACATTCTGAGTATTGTCTCTGCTCAAGCAAATCAAGATTCCATGGTAGGGCCTGCTTCAACTAGGAACTGCAACTGGGTGCCTCTCATGGTATGGCATTTAGTAGTATTTGTTAAGTGTGCAGCCCAAAGACAGCAGCAGAGAGCTGTTAAAGTTAAGCAATGTCTCAAGAGCTCCACATACAACCTCCTTCCACATTGCCTTAGAAGATGAGCAACAGTGTCTGTTTGCCTCTAACTCAGAACCTCTGCCTTCCTGCCATTTCAAAAGCAGCTTTTGTGCAACTGTATGTGAATCTACAATTATCTCAATAAAAATTTCAATTAAAAAAGCATCTTTAGCCCTAGCCAGTTTGGCTCAGTGGATAGAGCGTTGGCCTGCAGACTGAAGGGTCCCGGGTTTGATTCCGGTCAAGGGCACATGCCCGGGTTTGCGAGCTCGATCCCCAGTAGGGGGGCATGAAGAAAGCAGCTGATCAATGATTCTCTCTCATCATTGATGTTTCTATCTCTCTCTCCCTTCCTCTCTGAAATCAATATATATTTTAAAGCAGCTTTTGGCCCGGCCAGCATGACTCAGTAGTTGAGCATCAACCTATGAACCAGGAGGTCACAGTTTGATTCTCAGTCAGGGCACATGCCCTGGTTTTGGGCTCGATCTCCAGTAGGGGGCATGCAGAAGGCAGCCAATCAATGCTTCTCTCTCATCATTGATGTTTCTATCTCTCTCTCTCTGAAATAAATAATAAAAAATAAAAAATTTTAAAGCAGTTTTTGCAGCTCTAGCTGGGTGGCTCAAGTTGGTTGGAGCGTCATCCTGTACACTAAAAGGTTGCGGGTTCAATTACCGGTGAGGGCACATACCTAAATTGCAGGTTTAGTCCTGGCAGGGCATGTATAGGAGGCATCCAATCAATGTTTCTCTCTCACATTGATGCTTCTCTCTTTCTCTCTCCCTTTCTCTCTCTTAAAAAGATCCGTAAAAACATTTCCTCAGGTGAGGATTTTTTAAAAAGTAGCTTTTGCAGCCTCAAAGCCTTCCTATAAACGGTAACTAAATGGTTCACCTCTTTCTACTTACTGTCCAGCATCAGCTTTTTATATATCAGAGGCATGAAGTTAGCACATCTAAACTGAGAAGAGGGTGACAATAAAGTTTAGGCCCTGGCCAGGTAGCTCATTTGGTTAGAGCATCACCCCTATACACCAAGGTTGCAAGGTTTGATCACCTGGCAGGACACATGCAAGAATCAACCAATGAACACATAAATAAAGTAGGACAGCAAATTGATGTTTTTCTCTCTGTCTCTAAAATCAATCAATAAAATAATAATATGAAGTTTTAAATGTTCTTTAAATAAACTTTTAGTCACTACACTCCCCTTAGAAAAGAATTTCTCCTGAAAAGAGTTTAGGACATATAACTCAGAGTGTGGAAGAACATATATCACCTTTGGATCCAGAACATAATGGGTTGAACCTGTCTCTCAGACACTTGTGTGACACTGGGCAAGTGCATTTTCCTCATCTGCAAATGGAAGTAAGGCCACCTCATATTAAATGAGATAGTAAGTCTGAAACTTAGCAAATAATAACCACTATTAAAAACAAAGCAAGCAAGCAAACACACACACACACACACACACACACACACACACACACACCCCTTAGCTGCCTTCTCTTCTTCACAATAAAGGAAGATCTTAAAAAATAAAGGTGAGGGAGATAGGAGAAGGTAAATGGGGGCTTGGAGTGGTGAACACACAATACAATATACAAATGATGTATTATAGAATTGTACCCCTGAAGCCTATATAATTTTATTAACCAATGCCACCCCAATAAATTCAATAATTAATTAATAAATGTAAGAAAGAAGATCCTACTGGTAAACTGAGAACATTATCACAAGCAGCTGATGGTTAAAAATATCAGGTAACCCTGGCCAGTGTTGCTCAGTGGATAGAATGTTGGCGTGTGCACCTAAGGGTCATGGGTTCGATTCCTGGTCAAGGGCACATACCTGGGTTGCAGGTTCAATCCTGGACCCAGACCTGGAGGCAACCAATCAATGTGTCTCTCTCACATCTATGTTTCTTTTCAAATACTCTGACCCATTCATTATTTCCACTAACATCAAAATATCCCAGAAATTCAAATATTTCCATTTCCAAGTTATATTTCCCAGACAATCTCATTACCTAGAAACAGCACAAAAGGTTTTCATCAAACAGCATAGTTCACAATTGACTCAAGAAATATGTGATCATCAGGGATAAAAGGGACATCAAAAGTAGACAGGTCAGGAAAGCAAACCAATGATGATGAGAACTTTATAACCATATAGTGTATTTCTACATAGTCTATCCTAATAAATTCACATTTGTGCAACAACATGAATAACGTGAATAGGTCAGAATGAAAGTATAAAGATCCAGATGAGCCTAGGACTGCAGAGTTTCTGAAATCATCAGCTAGCTCAAGAAGACTGAGATCTGAATACCAAGCATACCCTCAGTTTAACAGGTAGCGGTTTAAAATCAAGTTTATACATAAAATATATCCCTCATAGTCTGGAAGGCCCATAAGAACATCTCATTGTCCCTGCAATTGAGCCTCACCACGAAATCCTCTTGTAACCTTAGCAGATATAGTGCAGTAGTTGAGAAGTGGGCCAAGTTCAAGTGTACATCAGAGCACAGAAGGTATGCTCCCTTGGCAACAGTATTACATGGAATCTGATTGCAAAACACCCTGCTACCTCTACTGGGTTTAAAGTCACTGTCAAACTTGCCCTTTGACACAAAGCCAGAAAGAGCCAGTGAGAGTCAGTTTATAATGTAAACAAACCATCCCCATGCAACATTCTGAACACTTTGGAAAGGGTGCCAGGATTGAAAAATAAAAAAAGTGGCTCGGTTTTCCAAGTTGGCTTCACATTTTCATGTTCCCAATACCGACTTCCAGCAAACATCTGCCAGGTTCAGAAAAGAAAAGAAAAAAAAAGCCTTTCAGCATGTGCCTTTAATTTAGGCATTCCTCCTTCCTCTTCCTTCCCTTCGCCCTCCTCCTCCTGGCTCCCACTCACAAGGAATAGGGAAATATATATATTTTTGTATTCACATTCATATTTATTTTTTAATGTTCCCTGAATACAAATGGAGAAGAGATTAGAGAGGATAGGAGACTAAAATGGGGAGGGAAACTGGACAGTCACAGAATGAGGCCCAGAGAAGACCAGAGATGGCTGCTCTCGAGCCGCAGCAGTGAGGGCTGTTTCTGATTAAGTGAGTACAATGGCAGAGCTGTGCAGGAAGTGCTCAGGGGCCCTCGGGCAGCGCCATCCCAAACACACTGAAAACCTCTGTACTGTAGCAGGCCCATCTGGAATCAGTTAGGACCAGGCTCCTAGCAGGCCTTTCCTTTAAGGAGCAAATAAAAAACCTAAAAGCACTAGGCTGAGCTTTCCGGCTTGCAACCTTCTCATCCCTTCCCGGTAAATCACCCTTCAGAGCACATTTCTCCATCTCCTGTTCTAGGGTCAAAAGAGTCACATTAAGAACATGAAGCATTGGCGCGGAGGGACGAGGCAAAGCCGCGCAGTCGCCAGATCCGCTCTCGGTCCACGCCGTCCATCGCGCTGCCCGTCCGCCCGCCCCGCGCCCGCCGCCGCCGCCGCTGCCGCCGCCATGGGAGTGCAGGTGGAGACCATCTCCCCCGGAGACGGGCGCACCTTCCCGAAGCGCGGCCAGACCTGTGTGGTGCACTACACGGGGATGCTTGAAGATGGAAAGAAATTTGATTCCTCCCGGGACAGAAACAAGCCCTTTAAGTTTATGCTAGGCAAGCAGGAGGTGATCCGAGGCTGGGAAGAAGGGGTTGCCCAGATGAGTGTGGGTCAGAGAGCCAAACTGACTATCTCCCCAGACTATGCCTATGGTGCCACTGGGCACCCAGGCATCATCCCACCAAATGCCACTCTCGTCTTTGATGTGGAACTTTTAAAACTGGAATGACAGGAATGGCCTACTCCCTGAGTTCCCTGTGCTTGGATGTGCCATGGAGGGATCTGGCGCCCCCGACGTGCACAAGCGAATCCGTGCGGAGCTTTTCCTGATGTTCCACTACACTTTGTATAAACATCTGCCCCGACTGAGTGTGTTCTGTCACCCAGCTTTGCTCTTCCCCTTTCTCCTCGTATGTGTGTTGACCTAAACTACATGCCATAAACCTCAAGTTACTCTTTTTGTTTTTGTTTTGGGGTGAAGATTCAGTTTCAGTCTTTTGGATCTAGGTTTTCAATTACATATTAGTCAAGTATTAACAGCACAAGTAATGGGTTAACTTTAGACTAGGAATTGGTGTGTGGGGGATGCAAGAATCTTTATTTTATTTTATTTTTTTGGATGAAATTTTTATCTATTATATATTAAACATTCTTGCTGCTGCGCTGCAAAGCCATAGCAGACTTGAGGCGCTGTTGAGGGCCGAACTATCTCCAAGTTGAGAGAGATCTTTGGGTTGAATTAAGAGCCCTACCCAAAACTGAAGTGGGGAGGGGAGCCCTCACCTCCACTGCCCCGGCCCACTCTCCCCTTAAACCCTCTGCCTTTTAAAAGCAAATCGTTTTCACTGCGATGTTGGACACTACAGGTATCTGTCCCCAGGCCAGCAGGGACCTCTGAAGCCTTCTTCGTGGCCTGGCTTTTTTCCCCCCATCCTGTGGTTTTTTTCTAATAGATATTCAGGACTTTTATAATGTCATAGCTATCCAGGCTCCACTCCCTAAATTTTAAGAACTTTAATCGAAAGTTTAAATTGAAGGTGCTGTTTGTAGACACTTAAAACCCAATGAAAGCCCAGCCATCATGACAAATCCTTGAGTGTTGTCTTAAGAAAATGATGCTGGTCATCACAGCTTCAGCATCTCCTGTTTTTTGATGCTCACCTCCCCCTGCTGAGCTCAACGTTTTCTGGCTTTTCCTTCCCTCTTAGGACCAGGCTCCTAGCAGGCCTTTCCTTTAAGGAGCATATAAAAAACCTAAAAGCATTAGGCTGAGCTTTCCGGCTTGCAACCTTCTCATCCCTTCCCGGTAAATCACCCTTCAGAGCACATTTCTCCATCTCCTGTTCTAGGGTCAAAAGAGTCACATTAAGAACATGAAGCATTCAGAAAGCTAGCTGACAGGCCCAGAACCCCTAGAAAATTATAGTATCCATGCAACTAAAATCCCTTTTACACAATTTTGGGATGTTTTAAATGTTATTTTTAGAAATTTGAAGTGGCCTACTTTGTTCTTTAAGCATTTTCATGAAGCATATCCTTCATGAAACTTTTTTCACTTTGTTCTGTCTTCTAAATCATGCAAAAAGTAGAAAAAGAGGCACATTGGAATAGTTCTCCTAGTATTCAAAAGGAAAAATCTTTTTCCACTTACATTCCTCAGTTAAACTGCCAATAATCGTTTCTGCAGAAAATACATTTTTACTGATGCTTTCTATAAAAAAAAAAAAAAAAACACCGAACTTCTCTGGTAGCATGGTAAATGCCTAGAACTAAGATTCCGGAAACCTGGAGAACAGTCTTGATGGTCCTTAATTAGCCATGTGGCTAGGAATAAACTACTTCATCTTTCTGAGTCTGGTTTTGTTTTGTTTTATGCATAGAATGTGGGGGTGAGACAGATTCTCTAAGATTATTTCCAGCACCACTACCCCCTCAACTTCTACACACCTAAAAAGAACACATACACAACTAGCCTCCACCTTCACCTAAGAATCATCATTTTAAGGCCATTTTTTTATTGCCCCCAAAGATGGTACAGAAAGGAGTTAGGTATATGGGGGGGAAAGTGGGCAGAATCTGGCAGCTAGTATGACTCTTCTATAAGCCATGTTCCCTGTCTTCATGCTGCTTAGGGATATTATAACCTAGGCGGTGGTAAAATGTTCAAAGACAAGTGCCAGGCTAGTCATCTGGGCCCTGTCACGTGATCACAGAAGCACAGCACAAAAACCTAAAGAATTCACGAATAAACTACTGAAATATAACTCTGTTCTTTGTGCTCAGTTTAGAAGCTTCTAACTTAATTGATCTCAATAAATTCTGATTGAATCTACTAAGAAGGCCAGAATCTCTGAAGAATACAAAAAAAGAATCAGAAACTGCCCTCTCCTCAACAAGTTTATAATCTACAGGAGAGACACAGAGACGTTCAAGTGCAATTTTAGTTCAAGACTTGATAACAATGAGGTAATTATAAAGTACTGTGCAAGTCCCCTGACTGCTGCTTCCTCCAAAGCCTTCCTAGAGGGCCTATTCCTTTTTAGAGCTCTTTCTCTTATCTTCTTCCTTTGGCCAAACTGTTAGGGTTCAATAAGTCTGAAAATTATGTTTCACCATGAAATTTAAAGGCTGGCATTGTAAACTCTCAAAACTAATCCCATGGTACAATAAATAAGCAGTTTATAACCATAGAGAGAGGTGCAGACCTACATAAACATCCCCCAATCCACAGCTGTCCTCGGTGCAGGAGCACTGGAACACTGTAATAACAGTTACACCTAATGCAAGCGGGAACCAACTCTTGACCCTGAGGGCCAGCCGGTGTGGCTCAGTGGTTGAGCATCAATCCATGAAGCAGGAGGTCAGGGTTCGATTCCTGGTCACAGCACATGCCCAGTTGCAAGCTTGATCCTCAGTAGGGAGTGTGCAGGCGGCAGAGGATCAATGATTCTCTCTCATCATTGATGTTTCTCTCTCTCTCTCCTTTCCTCTCTCTGAAATCAATAAAAATGTATTACCAAAAAAAAAAAAAAAAAGAATCAATTGGGGCCCAGGTAGCTCAGTTGGTTAGGGCATCATCCTGATATGCCAAAGTTGTGGATCCAATCCCCAGTTAGGGCACATAAGAGAATCAACCAATGAATGCATAAATAAGTGAAACAACAAAATTCAACGTTTCACTCTCTCTAAAAATCAACAAATCTATTTTTTTAAGTCTTAAAAAAAAAAAAGAAGAACCAGTTAAGCAAGTAAAAGAATTGCTGATTAGAACTAGATTAGAACTGTCATAAGTGTGCTGCCCTGCCCTCGGCCACAACCAGAATGCCAGGAATTACAGAGACCACTAGTAGGGTTTGGGGCTAGAGGTAAATACCACAAAACACCTGCCTTTATCACAGGTCTGTGATCAATGTTTCCCGTATAAGTAAAATGCTCAAACAAGGGTCTAGTTCTTTAAAGGCCTGTTTTGTCATTTTGCCATTTCATATCTGAGAGTAGAGAAAAAAATAATCCTATAAAATTGACACGTCTTTCCTCAATCTCCAATCCTAGGTAACCTGAAGGCTGAGTGGGCTCCTTTTCCGGGGGCACTGCACAGGTATTCCATTCTGGGTACGCTCCCTAAAATCATCTTCCCTTCAGTGAGTTACACTCCCCCACGCCCCAAACCGGCAAGACTTCAAACTGTGAGAGAGAAGTAAGAGTCTATAGGGCTCCAGAAACAGCAGGGTCACATTTCCCCTGGAACATGGAAAGCTGAACTGTAGGAGGCGCACCGAGGGATCTGGCCCACTCCCTAAACATGAACACATTTCAGATTAGGTACGTTGAACTTGGCAGTTCAGCTGACTCCCAAACCACTCTGAACAAAACTGGATTGGTCAGGAATCATCGTGGCAAACAACAGTAGAAGGGCCAATCAAAACTTTTGGCCCTGCCAAAGAACTGCAGCCTTTTCCTTAAAGGGAAAAACACTTCAAGGTGAATGTTTTTGTGTGCAGTTGTAAGGAGAGGAATTTTCAGACTTTCCAAAATCCAACCTGCAGGTAACTTTGCTTCCATATATTTCCTTTTTTAATATTTGTTCTCCTCTGTAACAAGACAGCATTGCTACAGAGTGTAAAAAAAGATTAGGAATCCATAGAAAGGCCACCACAATCGAACTCTACATTTGACCAAAGGAGGCACGGTGTCCCTCCCTCCTCATCTTAGGAGAGAGCTGGGACTCACCCTTACTGCTACCACTTGAGGGCAGTTTAGAGACTTCTCCCAAAGAGTCTTCCCCTAGTCCTCACCTCTCCCCAACCGCCTCTTCGGCTTTCTCTGACACGGTCCCCCTTGTCATTCAGAACTCAGAGGCATCTGGAGGGCTGGATTGGACTGTATATTGTGCAAGTAGCTCCACAGCAGAGAGGCAGCAGGTACAGCACAGGGCTTCTCACACTAACTATAGCAACCCTTTCCTTTTTAAGTTTCCAATCCATCATAGAATGATGCTTTTATAAAATACAGTATAATAAATTTCTAAAAAAAATAAAAATGTTTAAAAGACATATATAATATAAACTTTTTATTATTAGTCAACACTCATAAAATTATTCTATCATATATATATATATATATATATATATATATATATATATATATATATACCTAAGTGACTGTCCAACCATTTGACCATTTGACCAGTAGCTATGACACCCATTGACCACCAAGGGGCAGACGCTCAGCGCATAGGCATGGAAACATGGAACAGACTGATGAATCTCAGAGGGAAGGGGGGAGGGGGGGGGGAGAGATTAACTAAAAATCTTATATGCATACTAGAGGCCTGGTGCTGTGCACTGGTGGGGTCCCTCAGCCTGGCCTGTGGGGATCGGGTCAAAACCTGCTCTCCCACATCCCCTGAGGGGTCCCAGATTGCGAGAGGGCACTGAGCCTCTAGTATTGCTATAAAAGTCTCTAAGTGTTCACAATCCATTTCTATACCTATCTCATAGTGAACAGTTAGTGAACCAATACTAGCCTACTAATGACAAACCCTATGGTTATCATCAGCATAGTGAAAGAGAACAAGCTTTGACACCACACAGTCCTAGGGACGAATCCCAGCTTAATCACTTACTATTTATAATGATACCATTGTAATTAACTAGTTATTAATAATAGGAAAGAAGCAAAGGGAAGGCCAGACATTATAGGCATGTTCCCTATAAAACATTAGGAGAAGGGGACTGGGTAAAGGGAGACAGATGAATGCCCAGTAAAGTTGGGATGACAGGGAAGGTACTTTCCTGTCAATCACACCTGGGGACAGAGATGGTTGGCCAGAATGAGTGTAGCCACTGCAAGGGCTAGAAGATTTGGGATACATAACTCCCTAAACCAGTGGTCGGCAAACTGCGGCTCTTTGGCCCCTTGAGTGTGGCTCTTCCTAAGCCTTAGGAGTACCCTAATTAAGTTAATAACAATGTACCTACCTATATAGTTTAAGTTTAAAAAATTTGGCTCTCAAAAGAAACTTCAATCGTTGTACTGTTGATATTTGGCTCTGTTGACTAATGAGTTTAAGACCACTGCCCTAAACAAAGGAGTTCGCTCTTGTGCTCTCTTGGGACTCATGTGACTCTGGGGACTTGTGGGGCTCTTTTGCTCCTGCTTCCCTGCAGTGGGCCATGTGGGCTCCATACGCGACGGACTAATGGACTGTGACTACCTGATGCTGAACATGGAAAGGAAAACTCTGGACACTGGCTTTGCTTCCAGCTTTACTGAAACCAGGGCCACACTTCTATGACTGGACTAAGGGAATTTGGGACTTTGGAAACCCAGAGATATAATTCCCTGGAAAAAAAGTTTTCTACTATATCTCATCCTCCTGTGGGGGCCTCTGGAAATGCTTATTCCAGCAGCACCTCAAGAACCCCACTCCCACTAGCAATGGGGAAAGACAAGGCGTATTTTTCTCCAAAACCAAAATGACTTTGGCCATATCATTTATTTTTTTATTTTTATTGAACTTATTGGTGGCCATATCATTCCATTTT